CTGGCTGGGCTGGTTTGGGGCATGTTTGTTGGCAGTAGGAAGGCATCCAGGAGACACGCAGTGAGGAAGCCAGGTGACCAAGGGGACGGTCTGCTGGAGATGGGATGGCTTGTTGGTCAGTAAGCATTGATGACTGACATCGGGAGTCACTCCAGGTTTGTGAAGAGGAGAGTGACCTGAATGTGGCATTTATCAGGAAGGTTATTTGGGCAGCGCTGTGGAGGTTCAATGGAAGAGAGCAGAGTGAGGGAGAGCAGGCTGGGGGCCTTCAGTTATGAGTGCGAGTGAGAAGACCGGAAGCCGGAGGAGAGAGCTCAGAGTGCAGATTGCAGAGGCACTAGGAGCGAAGAGGTGTCAGCAGCTGGCAGGTTTTCAGGATGCGTCCCTGCCAGTCCTCCTTCCTCCTTTCCCCTTGCTCCCAGCTTCCCTGAGAGTGCTCAGTGCCCCAGAGCCAAGCACCTTTTCCATTCTTCGTCCTCCTTGGCTTTGATGGTGACCACATATATCAAAGGCTTCAGCGAAAGACAGCCAGATCATTTAGGCCTTCGTCCTCTGGCGAGAGAAACCGTCTTGACGACTCCGTTGGAATATTCCCAGGAACCTCCAGGCTCTTAGCTTCTTCACTTTCTGAGGAGAAGGTGACCTCCACCAAATGGTCTGCTGTGGGCTGGCCTTGAACTTTCAGTGGCAGGGATGGGTGTATTCTGGCAGCTCCTTCCAAACCCAAAAGGGTGAGATGATGGCCCAAACGAGCTCAGCTCACAGAGGCTGATCACTTCAGGGTTGGCCATAGTGGCAGCAGTTAAGGTAGACAACGTAGGAAGATGTGGGTGGCATGTGGAGGGGGGGCCCACAGCGGTGGCTGGAGTAGGTGGCCCTCCCCAAGCCGTTCAGCGTTTACCAGGCGGTGCTCCCAGGAGCTCTCTGGAGGAGGCTCCCCTCTCAGCTTAGGTAAGAGGAGTTGTCTGACCCTGGAGAGGAAGGAGGTCCCCTGGGGGCCAAGAGGGCTTTTGAGGTGAGAAAAGGGGACAGCCACCTTGATTCCTCCTTGTTGGGGCCAGTTTTCTGACAGACTGTTCCCCCTTTCCCTGTAGATGCTTACTTCCTCCAAAGTGGCACCGTTCCAAGGATCTGTGATCTCTCAGTCCTCCTTCCTTTTCTTCTCACACTGATGCCACACCTTCTACATCTTCTTAAATAGCTATGAATTGGGGTGGGGGGGGATTTCCTGGCCTTTTGGCCAAGGCTTCTGCTAGCAGCAGCTGTTGGCCAATGGCCAGCCTCTTGAGTTCAGGCACACCTGCCTGAGCCGCTGTAGCTTCACTGCTCAGCCTTAGGCAACCCACTGTGCCCTCCAGACCATGGCAGGACCTCCTAAGACCCCCAAGGGAAGACCCCTAGGACAAAGACAGAACCTGCGAGAGTTTGCTCCCTGAGCTGCAGACAGGACTCTGGGTGTTAGTGTAGCTCACTGGTCCTGAGGGACAGGCTGCAGATTGTCTGATGTGGGTGATGCCGTCTTTGTTTAGGAGTTGGGCCTTTTCTTCCGTGTCTCAGGCTCCCATCATACCCATCGTTAGCGATGTATACGGTGCATCATCTTGGGAGCCAGGGCAGAAGGCTTCAGAAGAAGGGAGGCCCCCTCCCTAGCCTCCCCTGGGCTCGGCCCACAGACCTGGAGAACTGGAGAGAGCGCACAGGGCGGGGGCCTGAAGACCTTGCTGTAGACAGACATTTCCCGTGGAAAAACCAGACTTAGGACTGCACGAAGGGTCATCCTGGCAGAGAGCCCGCTCTAGGGTCCCAGACACACGGTCCATAACTCTGCTTGCCAGTTTACAAAGCACTTCCTTTACCAAACGCTTCTCGGGGGGCTGGGCTAGCAACATTGTGCCCGTTTGAGAGAGATGGACGGAGCTAGGAGCAGGGGCAAGGAGCTTCTTGGAGGCTTAATGTGGGGAAAGTAGCGGGTGCCCCCCTCACTCAGGCCTTCGGGCGGCTGCTTGAACGGCCACTGGCTGAGGCTGGGGGTGATGGGGAGTCTTGTTCCAGCGGGGCTTGACTTAGGGCCAGTTCTGAGATTCTGGGTGTTATATTAGCCCCGTTTTACAGATGAGGAAACTGAGGTCCAGAGGGATACGAGTGGTTGCACAGCTAACCAGTAAGTGGCAGAGGTAGGTTTCAGTCCCACGGTTTTTCTGCACTGCTTCTACGGAAGATGTCATCAGGAGGCACGGTCTTGCCCTCCTTCTGAGCCCCTCCTTCCCTGGGGAACAGACACGCCCCGGCCCCTGCTCCCTGCCACTCTTCTGCGTTCTGTTCTGTCTTGGGGCCTTCCAGCTCTTTTAATCTGAGCTCTCCTCCGGGGCCAGCCTCCTCTTAGGGCTCAGTGGCCTCTCTCGCCTCTTCCCCACATGCTCCCTTTGCTCCTTGGGCTGCTGCCGATGCTGCCATGTGAGTGCCTTCCCCCTCCTCCCGAGCTCCGGGTCTGGGAGAGGGTCCCAGTGCTTCGCTGTACTCCCTGGTCTGCTGCTGATGGTGCCCTCTCTTCACTTGTGTTTTCACGTCCTTTAATTCCGGTTTTATTTATATTTATATATATATTTATATTTATTCCATCTCCTCCCTTTAATCAGATAACCTTGCCTCATATTTACTGAAAGAATCAAGACCAAACACCTGTGAGCTGTCCTTGCTGCAGAGCCCAACAGCACTGCCCCCTCTATCTTAGGACCGTTCTCACTTTACATAAATTTACATTATGCAAATTAAGCTTTACATAAAGAATTCCGGAAGAAATCCACATTCCCAAAAACCCCTGTGTGAACTTTACTGTACTCCACTGTGCCAGAAACCCTTCAGTTGAAAGGAAAAGATGGAGGCTTAGATTGAGACCTCTGGGCTGCTCCACCACCAGCCGTTCTGTGTCTGTCCCCAGCCCCCGCGAGTCACCCGTCCTCTCGTCTCCTATGTCTGTTCCCTGCGTGCTCTTCCTCTCGGCTCCAGTCAGACCCCTCCTTGGCTGACCCTGGCCCTGGATTGCTCCTTTTCCTTCTCTCCCTTCTCTGTGGCAGGCCTTCCCTCCTCCCTCCGGCCCTCACGTCTGAAGGCAAATTAGTATTATAGAAAAATCACATTAGTAAGGTCTGTGGAAGGCATGCTTACATAAAGCAGGAACGGTCTGGAGTCAGAGGACCTTGGACCTCCTCAGTCTCATTGGGTCTTCGTTGAAGGCCCTCCTGAAGAAGCCTTTTCTCGATCCCGGCCTGCTCCCCTTTCCCTGCCGAGTTTCTTAGAACAAATGATAGTGGCTAGGTTTTTACATATGACGAAACCAAGACTGAGGGAGGTTCTGCATCTTGCACAAGGGCATGCTGTTAGTGTGACAGACGCAGATTTGAACTCCTGTCTTTCCAGCTCCCACTCCAGAAGTAGTCAAGACTTAGAATGTCTCCTTCCTCACTATTTCTTGTCTGTCTGGTTCAGCCCTGTGCAATCCAGCCTCCATTGTCCTCCCTCAGCAATGAAGCTTGTTTTCCCAAGTGACATCTTTATCCCCAAAGCCTTTTCTTTTTCCTTCCCTTGGCTTCCAGGATACCGCGTCCTCCCGATTCTCTCTTCTTTGACTCCTGAATGTGGGTCCCCCTCTGGCAGCTTATCTCACCCTCCCCCCCACCCCCTCTCCGTGCACGTGACTCCCATCTTGCTCCAGCTACAGTCTCCATTGGATAACTCTCGGAGCTCTCTGCTGGCCTCTTTCTGATGTCTTAAGTCCAACACATCCACGGTGGAATTCATCATCATCTTCAAACGCCCTGCCTGTTGAGGGCACCCCTTCCTCCCCATCGCCCCCATGCCAAGCGCTCTTGATTCTGCTTTCTGCTGATCTCTCCCCTTGTCCTTCTGGTGCCACCACCCTCGTTCAGGCCTTTCCATTCAAGGCCTTCCGTGGTCTGGTTCGGTCTGACTACTTCAGTATTGGGGATTCCCTTACAACTCTGTCTCTCTAAATCCTTCTCTTCCTTCAAGGTCCCAGGCAGAGATGCTTTCCCTGACCTCTCAGGCATCAGTGTTTTACCCTCCTGGCTCCTTCATCTCATTCTAACCCTAGTTATTGGGGTATGAGTCACCCCTCGGGTGAGAGCCACGTCATTTTCATTCCTCGGTTCCCCTGCACCCAGTGTGGGCTTGTCTCCAAATTAGGTGCACGGTGGCTGTTGCATCTGTTATTCTGCCTGCTCCGTTAGCAGATATCACAGGATGCACCTACGGACCCCTTTCCTACTTCAGCTTCTTGGGAAATGGGGTCCCTGCTGGAGTTGGGCGTCATTGTTCCCCTTCTGAGGAGAGTAAGATACACCGTCCTCGGAAATGCAGCAGAGCACGTTGTCACAGGCACCCCCAGCAGACATTGTGATGGGCAGCACCTGGGGGGACGAGCAGTCAGGTATTGGCCTAGAACCTCGAAGGCTGGCTCTTCAGGCCCCTGCTTGACCGCTGGTTGAGTGATGTCGTGGCCTTTCTTTGTAAAAATGAGCTTGGATCATGGGTAGTTCAAAAGAGTGCCGAACCAAGTCGTGGGCCCTGCATTCAGATCTTGACCCTGCTGTTTACCACCTGTAGGACCATGGGCAAGTCATTCACTCTCTCTGGCCTCAGTTTCTTCACCTGTAAAACGAGGGTGTTGGTTGGAAATCGGTGAGCTCCAAGGCTCCTTCCCACTCTGGGTCCACAATCATCCTGAGGTCTGTTCTCGTGCTAATGGTCTGTGGTTCTGTGATTCTTTTTAGAGGTTTGAATCCTGATTAAACTGAAGAGCCTGTCCTCTCACTTCTCCCTGACTCCTAACACGTGGGTGGGAGTGTTCATTTCCCATTGTAGTGCATGGTTTTGTGTGGGGGTCTGCACCCTGACGACAGCTCTCAGTAGAGGCTCTGCCAGGTTAGTGATGCGAAAGTGAATGCTCTAACCACTGACAGCCCTTGTCCTTCTCTTGGCAGTCATCCAGTCCCTCATAGCACTGGTGAATGACCCCCAGCCTGAGCACCCCCTTCGGGCTGACCTAGCTGAAGAGTACTCTAAGGACCGTAAAAAATTCTGTAAGAACGCTGAAGAGTTTACAAAGAAATATGGGGAAAAGCGACCCGTGGACTAAATCTTCCGTGATTGATTCCAACCAGGGCAAGCGGCAACCCGGAGCAGCAAATTTCCAACACCCCGCAACCAGGACTCTTTGGGAAATTGATAGGGGCCACCTCCTGGCGTTAACTTGAGGCAGTTACTAACTTTCTACAGTTTTCTTAATCAAAAGTGGTCTAGGTAAACCTGTAAAGAAAGGATTAAAAATTTAAGATGTTCTAGTTCTGATTTCTTTGTTTTAAAAATCACTGCTTCAATCTACCTTAAAGGATGGTGTGTTCTTTTCTTGCCCAAATCTATCCCAAATCTTCAGTTTCTCTTCAGGTTTAAAACAGAAAGTTAGTGAGTGGTGCACACTCCTGATCCCTCCCTTCCCCTTTGTAGGTCTTATTTTATTGAGTTCATTTTAATCACACTCCCTGTCCCCAGAACAATGCCTTGGGAATCTCTCCCCCCACCCCAACCCTCATTCAACCTCTTCCCTTCCCCCCCATCCCAAGCCCTGAAAAAAAAATGGCCTAAAACCCAGCAGTCCTATTGCCCGCCCTCCCTGCGGTTTTGTGCTTTGTGAGCACGGTTTGTGAGTTTGTAACATCTCAGAAACCCAAATGAGGCCGAACCCCAGGGTGAAGTCTGTGATGAGGAAGGAGTCTGGCTGTTGTGTAAATCCGGCTGATGTTATCAAAACAATGTCATTAAATGGGCAAACCCCTGATTGTCTGCTTGTGTGTGTGATTGAATTACAGCCTGGCTCCAGAGCTGTCAGCACTGGGCTGTGTGTTTTTGTACTGGGAGTCTTTGGGCTAACTAGCTAGAAGACACATGGGCCTCCTGACTGACAGTGGCCAGTTGGAAGCAGCTTTTGGAATGGGCTGGGCAGGGTTCATACCCCCTCTTCTCCTATTAAGATGCATACTGATACCACTCACAGGAGATGTCCTGTGACAGTGAAAAGCTAATTCTATTGACATTGTTTTCCACGGGAGTATAGAACTTTGTATCAGAATGGACTCAAAATTTTTGGCAAAGTTCCCCCTTATCTCCAATATTGAATTCTTTGATTATCTTAGAGAAAGAAATTTGAGTTTGGGATTCTGCTTGTAACACCTAAAGGTGTTACTCATCTGGGTCAAGGTCATCACCCTTCCTCCCCGCCCCCTGTCCCTTTTTAGAGTCATTGAGAAGAGCCTCTCTGGGGAGGGCAGCTTCTCTTTCCTTTGACCACTTTGACTGAAACAAGGCATTGCCCCCTCCCTCTGGATGAGGCACCCCCGGGGAAGAAACCTGCCTTCACTTGGGAAAATCTTTTGCTGTCCTTTAAGGATGGTTGTTCGGGTTTTGTTTTGTTTTTTAATATTACAAGCATTTTGATGGCTTTTTTTGGTAGAAATAAAAAGTGATTATAAATTTGCAATCATATGGAATTAAAAGGATTAAAATGTTGCTGTCTCTTAAAAATAAATAGCTCCCCCCCCAATAAATAAATGAATAAGATCCTAGAAAATATCCATTGTTGATACCCAGATATTTGCTGTGGTTAATTCTGGTGACGTGAGATTGACGACTTTCTCGGTTTTTTAGATCTTGTCCCAAATGATCTCAAATCTTTAGCCTCATCTAGTTGCTGAGGAGGAGTAGGTCGTGGAGGAGAGGATGTTCAAGAGCTTAACATTTTTTCCCCCGGGGCGTTGAGACATGTAGGGTATTCTGCTTTCTGTTTGTGCAAAAGTGGGAGGTTTGTGAAGTTTTCATTTGTCAGTGACCACATTGCTGGCCTGTAAATATCCCCAGCTTCTTCAGCCCTCTCCAAGAAATAGGGTGCACAACTGCATTTGGGGTATGCCCGTGTTTTCAGGGGGGCGGAGGGGCGCCCATCATCAACACAACCACCACTGTCTCTTCGTTTGCTGAAAATTGGTACGGACTTTGTTTCCCGACTTCTTTGGATTTGTAATAAAATGCCAGATTCTGTCAAACAAAAGCGTGTTTAGCTCCTACATCAGACTCCTACCTAGACCAAGCCACTGTCTGTCCTGTTACTGCCTCTGAACGGGAAATGTTTGCCGTTCTTTGAAACTGTCTGGTCCTTTCCTCTTTCGATAACACTTGCTTCTCTCTCATAGTGTGTAGACCTTTCTGATTGTCAGCCTCTCAGGTTAATGCCATTGAGAGGGAACCTCCGCAGCCCGGCACTGGGAAAGTGTGTGGATGTGAGCTCACTTGATGCTGTTCTGGGCCACCGGGTGGGCAACAGATGTAGAACAGTGGGTTTTATTGTTTGCCTCAAAGCTGTGGCTTTTCTGTAAAGAGCTAATGAGGGGGAGTTGTGAAAGGGGGTGGGGGGTGGGGGGAGAAGCTTCTGCCATAGTGAGAACCAAATCGTTGTGTATGATGGTGGATGAGGAGGTGCTGGCTGTCCTTGGATCACTCAGGACTTCACTCCTGCTCCTTAACTGTTCCTGACAATGTGCTGAATTCTCAGCATCCCTTCCCTTCCCCGAACTACAGCATACTCTACCCCCACCACCACCTCGTTGTGGTATAGACTTTCTAAGGTTCTGCGATTCCATTCTGCTACCCTAAATAAAAGTGCTCTCAAAGGTTTTGTGGCATGACTTTTTGTTGTCAGACCTCCGGCGGGGCCTAGAAAAAGTAAGCAGTGTGTTGCCCTGAACAGACCACATCATCACCATTTCCACTCATGTCCATTGATGTGGAGAAGGATACGCTGCCCTGGGGCTCTCTTGGTCTGGAGAGATGGTCTCCAGGGTGTATCCTCCGGGAAATCCCCCAGGTAGGGTGATCCCTGTTCTGAATCATACCCCCAGGCTCCAGAGTGGCCACACTGGCTCCTGAACGGCAGGCCTGCTGCCTTCTTGTCCCTCCGTCTGTCCTTGCACACTGCAGAGGTTTCAGCAGCTTTGAGAAAACCAGCCCTGAAACCCCCGTGGGGGTCGGGGGTGGAGCTGGGGGTGCACTGCTTTTCAGGAAAGTATCCTGGCTCAGGAGCCAGGACCTGTGTCCAAATCCAAGGCCTGCTGGCCACAGGGAAGTTCTTTTTTAGGTCCCCATTTCCTCATCTGTAAAATGAAGACTGGATGCTCTACCAGGTTCCTTTCAGCTTTAGCTCGTGGGAGAGACCAGTGACCTTCGTTCTAGGCCCAGGACACAGAGCGTGGCCACATGGGATGTAGAAGGAGATGATTCCCTTCACTTTCCTGGCATCACTCGCCCCCCCCCTGCACCGGAGGGTCTCCCCAGATTGGACGGTTTGTCCCAGGCCCTGTTAGGGGCATTTGTTTGTACCCACGGCACGTTCCTCTACATTTATTTCTAATGTCTAGGTTGTCAGTCCACAGTGATTAGAGTGATAAGAAAGGGCTGTACTCTCACCCCCTTATGAACAGCCTGGAGGGGAATCCTGGTCTGCTAGTTGGCAGCGCAGCAATCGCTGGGGGAAAAGACACTTGGCCCTCTGGGAAATCTGTCAAGGCACAGGAATGGCACTGCACAGATCAAGCAAACTAAGTTGTAAGACGAGCCTTTTCATTTCGCTGACCGAAGGAGCCTCGTTCCTTACCTTGCAACAGTGGTCAGGGCACACGAAGACATCACAGACACTGAAATGTGCTGTTGTATATGGGCCCGTGAAGCCGAGGCATTCATGAAGACTGATCATGCTCAAGCTGAAGGGTCGCTGACTCCTGCCTTCTGTCAGTGTCATATTTAACTGAATCCAGGAATCGCCCTCAGGTTTTCACGTAGGTATGTTTGAATCAGACCCTCCCTCGGCCAGTATCCAGCTTCAGGACTAGTGCCCCCTTTGCCTCAGAAGCCCTTCCTGTGGTGAACTCTGCAGTCAGCTCGAGGGTCAGAAGAGACCATTCAGGTTGTCTGCGCATGGGGCGCTGAGCTGAGTTCTGGGGGAGACGCAGAGTCTGGGGAGACGCCATTAGAACAGACACAGAAACCAGGTGGTAGGGAGACGGGAAGGGCATGGGCCAGTACCAGGATCTGGCAACGGCGAGACACAGAGGGTAGTTGAAGAAGACAAGTTATGATCTGCTCTTGGGATGCTGGTGACGCCATCGGCAGAGACGGACTGAGGGAGAAGATCTGGCTGCAGGGAATAGAGGGCAGGATCACGGACAGATAGAGAGCGGGAAAGGGGTTCGAGACGCCCTGAGCCCACCTGTGGCAGATGGGGGTGTGGGGCCCTGTGTCCACTGTCGGGCCTGATGCCTTGCTTAGTGTCACACTGAGCTTTCCCAACTCCCCATGTTCTGTATTACGAGAGAGGACCATGTGTGAAGGGGAGGGGAGAGAGGAAAAGAGAGAGGAGGGAGAAGGGGGAAAGAGAGAAGAGGGAGAGAAGGAAGGGGAGAGAGAGGAGAGAGAGAAGGAGGGGGGAGAGAGGAGGAGAGAGGGGAGAGAGTGAGAAATAAGCAGAAGTCTAGTTTAAGGGGGTTTCTTGGTGTAGGAAGCGTAATTGTCCTGGACTCGATGCTTTTCCACTTAAGACAACTACTTTCCTTTCTATAAGAAAAGTAAAGCAGACCCTGCCCCTCAGCTTTTACTCATCATTACATCATCTGATCAGTCCTCTTATTTTATAGGTAAAGAAATAGGTCCAGAGAGGGGAGGGCCTTGACAGGTCATAGCTAGTAAGGGGCAGAACTGAGATTTCAACTCACATCCTTTAATTTCAAATGCTCTCCTCTTTCCTTGTGTGGCTATGAAATAGACATTTCTGCGCCTTAGAAGCTGCCTGTGATAGATCACAAGAGTTCTCCAAAAACTTGGCCTAGGATCAGAGATTCAGAGCTCCAGGATCCTGAAAATCACCTCTAACCCCCTCATTTTGCTCCCAAGGAAACAGGACCAGAGAGTTTTTAACTTGCTGAATGAAGGTCATATCGCCAGCACAATCTATGCTCACAAAACCTTCGTGTGCAGCCAGCGTTCTGCAGGACTCCTTTCTGAAGTGAAGTGGTTGGACCAGACTAGATCCCTTGTGGCTATGAAATTCTGCAGGCGTGGAGTTCATAGCTGGCCGATGGGGGACAGCATGGCGTTTCAGGGCCACGTCCCGTTCTGTGAGTCTCTTCTCCAAGGTTTCGGTACTGACCAGAGCCTATGCAGCAATGGCCAGGTGCCCTTCTCCAGTGGGATCCCCTGGTGTGGGATGCCTGAGCTAGGCAGAGGACGGGCCAAGATGAGCAAGTCGCTGTCACTTTGGCCCAGTGGCGTCACTGCAGGGCACACAGATGAGGGTTTCAGCAGAACTCGTGGTGGGGGCAAGAACTTGGAAACGAAGGAAGGGCCCATCAAGTCGGGAACGGCTGAAAACCCTGTGGTCTAGTAACAGATAGCGTCGATTGTTGTGCCAAGAGAAATGGCAGACAAGCAGAGACACTTGAAAAGACTTTGGTCCAGTGCTGCAGAGGGAAGGAAACAACCGAGAGAACGGCTTCATTAGGGGCCCCAGTAACTCAAAGGAAGACAGCACCCAGAGACAGGTGAGCTCTGAGCCATGTAGCGCCCCAGACGTGACTTCGGTAGAGCCGTGCTGCAGCGGCTCCTTCCTCTCAGCAGAGACGTAGCAGAATATATGAGACATGCTCTGCCAGCCACCGTCAGTGGGTCACTTTGCTCTGCTTAACAATATTTTTTGGTGGTTGTACAAAGGGAGAGGTCTGTGGGGAGCAGAGCGTGACTGTTAAGGTTTGGTTTGATTTTTAAAGGCAAACCTAGGAGCTAGAGAGGACAGGATCTATGAGGGGGTGAAGGCTTCTCCCTTTCCATTCCCAGAAAGTTTCTCTGTTAAGATGTAATACGTGTCAGAGGTTCTGTGACATGATGTCAGGTGAGTGACATCAGGAAAAAAAGTTCATGAGCTTTTGAGCTGAAAATAACCCCATCCTTTTACAGATGAGGAAGCCTACTGAGAGGGGAAGAGACTTCACCGCACTTAAGAATTAGGAGGACTTGAGTGCTTTGGTCTCACCTGTTTCTGACCAGGAGTCCCTTTCGCAGTATCCCCAACAAGTGCTTAATGACCTCTAGGGAGGGGAGTTTTTCCTCATGGCACACACCAGTCTGCCTCCCCGTAACTTCTATTACGCCCAATTGTGTGTCTCCTCTCCCTCCCACCCCCTCCCCACTTCCTTTGGGTCAAACATAACAAGTCTAGTCCCTGTTCTATAGGCTGGACTTTCCAATACTTGTGCAGAAGGTGTGCCCAAACGTTGCCCTGGATCTGTGGTGAAATTCCTTTCATATAAGACGTACAAAAGTTCTTGTTTTCTCACTGGTGAGAACTTTGCTCTGACATTAATGATCATCTCCTTAATGAGATGTGAGAGTCAGTATTGGGAGATCTGTGGGAAGATGGTCACACAAATGTCACTGGTAGTGCTGTGAACTGGTCCAACCACTCATATCCTTTGACCCAGGAGTCCTTGTCCTGGGTGTGCCCCAGGGAGGCCAAAGACAGAAGCAGTATTCAAATTAACCAAAATAGCCATGGCAGCATTGGAAACAGAATTGGGGAAAGGGTCCATTGATGGGGGAAGGGCTGAGGACACTGTGGTCTGTGAATGTCATGGAACGTTATTGTGCAAAAGAAAGATGAAGAACAGAAGGAATCCAGAGAAGGGGGAGAAGATTTGTATGAACTGATGCAGAACCGAAAGAACAACGTGCCAATGTGACTGTGAGCGATGTTAGTGAAAAGGAGGTTGGCCCCTGAGCCCTGCCCCCACTGGCGGCCCCTCCCAGGCGCAGGTGGAAGATTTGGGTGGCCTTTGTGGAGCTTGTCCAAGGTCACCCTCGATGGGGTTCTTGTTCTTTATTATGAGAGGCGGTTTGGGGTGGGGGGGCGGGTGGGGGTCGCTGTGAGTACTGCAGTGACTCGTGTAAAGAGGAAGGGCATCAATAAAACCTTTTTTAAAAACAGCAAGGTGTGGAATTTCCTTGGCCAGGTCTGCACTCACCTTGTCCTGGGTGTGTGTCCCCAAGTTAACCCCAGGCTGGCGGCCAGGTTCATTCATCGCCCGGTGACCCCTGAGCTGTTCCTTGGTCAGCACAGAGATCCAGTGGAGGAGCCAACGTGGACTTCCGCTTCATTAGTACCCAAAGCGTTGGCTAAGCACCTACTGTGTGCTCGGCTTTGGCGATCCAGAACCAAAAAAAGAAACCGTTCCTGCTTTTAACAGGAAACGAAACAAGTTGCCCATGTGAGTACATCCAACATCAGGACCCAAGGGCACCCGCTGCGGGGGGGCACTTACCCCTGGTTCAGAGTACTGTGGCTTACTGTATGTAGCTCATTATCCTCCACCAGTGGGCTCACATTTAATAGCCACTCAGAAAATGCAATTAATTCAAAGCAAAGCCATTCAATGAGAGGCAGTTTGAGATAAGTAGCCACGAAATCTCTCCATAAACCTGCCACTGAGAAGAGCAGAAATCGAAGGACCCTACATGACCGGGGTGCCGCCTGGGCCCACGTTGGAGGGTCATGCCCAGGGAACACGTCTCCAGGGCGTAGAAGGAGGTTCACCTCCTGCCTCTGGAGATTTGCTGGCCCTGTGATCTCCACTGAATGCTGTCGTCTGGCTGGGGGGTTTTGCTGCCTCCCGCTTGGGCTTGGCTGAAATCCTTGACCGGCCCTTTCTCAGAGAAAGAGTAAATACTGCCATGCCTTCTTAGCCGAAAGCCCAGATACACAGGCCTTCCCCAGCTCCAAGAAGGCAGAATATCCTTGCTCTAGTTAGTCTGGGACTAGCCACTTAGCTCACCCTGCCTTGTTCTCTCCGTCTTGGCTGCTGAAGACTCTTAGCTTCCCTAGCAAGAGATCCTCAGCCCCAAGGGACGTGCGTCAGAACAACTATCAGGCGACTCAGGTGGGGAAACCCTTCTTTTGAACTCTTTCTGACCCAAGATCTTAGACACATTTATAGTGAGCATTTCATAGACTTCTCAATTTTCAGTCTGTAAAGGCCAGGCTATAAACTAAGTATATCAAATGGCTCTAGGGTTCGGATTTGCTCAGTTTTCAAATACCGAGTCTCTTTTATTCTCTCGTGTAAGTGGGGAGAAAATCACAGAGAAAAGGTAAGGCCACCTTGGAACCAAATTCCTGTCCTTTTCATAGATGCTGTCCCCAAGCTTTGGGGCCACTCGTTCATAGAATAAATACAAAGTAATTTTCTGTGACTTGGTCTCCTGAACAGTCTTTACTGCCCCCCCCTTCCAGGAATGAGGACCCCGGGCATATGTCAGCGTGCAGCCCTGTAATAGTATCACTAGATTTGGAATATCGGAACTCTTTGACTCAGCGGTGCTTCTACTTGGTATGCCCAGGGAGGTTCCAAGTGTAGGATCCTTTCATCTGACCACCCCTTCATTGCCTGCCAAAGGCTCTCCTCAGACTGGTCTGTATGGACAGACCTCTAAAAATGTGGACGTCCACAGGAGCATAAGGGGACACCAGGAGAAACACTGCTGGGGAGCCCCTATGAGGTCTTTGGAGGCTATAGCCTTGAAAGGTACCGACTAGCAAATAACTTGGGAAGAGAAGGCCATCAGAGTGTTCACGTGAGGAACACGGGTTCTCCAGGACTGGAGATCAAGAAGCCTCGTGGCTTCTTCATTAGTCTCTGGAAAGCAATTGTCAGTAGCTTATTACAGACTAAATCTGGAATCATCTGGGTTCTTCCAATGCAGTGTATCCCCCAAAACTTGCCTGAAGGGACCAGACTCTGAGTTTTCTAAAGGTTGATCTACCCCATGTGTCTTGGATGAGGGCCTCTGCCAGTCAACAGTACGTTGTCAATATGGCAGCAGACATCATTGCCTTCACGAAGTGGGGACAGATGAAGGTATAATGAACTCGGATCTTCTCCCTTCCCCTCCCCTCACTCCCAAGTAGGTTAGGCTAGCTAGCTTTTTCTGAAATGGCCCTCACGATTTAATCAGTTCAGAGAACTAAGGCTGAGATTCTTGATGTGGCTTTCTGGTTCCCTAAGTATACAAATCCACAAGCTGGGTCTGCTGCTTGACTGAAAGACTGGCTTGTGGACAAACCAGGCAGGGAAGCTGCCCACCCCAGCATCAACATCCTTACCTTGCTACGGACTAAGAAAATCACTTTTTGTTAACTGTCAGGTTTTCTAGAAGTGGTTCATTTCTTTCCACCCAGGGAGCAGCCTTTTCCTACAAGAAGGGACATAAATCCAGCCCACTAAGCCAGTCTCTTTGAAAAAAGGCCCCCCCTTCCTTGCTGTCCTCCATCAGGCTTAGCGAGAGTTCATCTTCCTAGGGCCAAGTGTTCAGAAGCCCTCATTTGATGGTTCTGCAGACCATCGACAAGCACCTGAATGAACTCGGCAGCCTTTCTAAGAACAAACCCTCCCCAGCCATTGGCTGAGTTCTCCCAGCGGATGGAACTCTGCCACTAAAACTGCTCAGAATCGCCTCCATTAGACCACACCCTCCTTAGTCATGACTCTAATGATTCACAAGCTCACTGTTCAAAATTTCCTTGTAGCTGCCCCAGTTCCTTGGCTGAGAGAGTTCCCCAATGGAGGAAGTCACCCTTGCTCCATATTTTTATCCCTTATAGTACTAATCATGACAGGATTTGACCCATTCTCCAAAGAAACCTATGGGTCAGAGATCAGATTGCAGTCATCTGCAGTCATCAGGCCCTGCCTACATTGCCCTTTTCACCTGCCGTCACGGCCAGGCCCACTTCCAGATGGTTGATGATGAAGCGGCATGCTCCCCACCCACTGACAGATGTCATTCAGGGCACAGAATGAGATAGATGTTTGGGGAATGGCACACGGGCAACATTCATTTTGATTGAATATGCATTTTTGTTACAAAGATTTGGGGGTTTTCCCCCCCTCGTGAGAAAGAGTGGGAGAAAAAGTAGATTTTTGTTAATTAAAAAAATTTAATAAAAAAAAATACAAACCATTCTCTATTCAGCTGCCAAAATGATCTTCCTAAAGTGCAGAATGACTGTGTCAGCACACCCCTTCCCCTAGAGAGTTGCTCCCCAAACTCCAGTAGCGATTTATCAACTCCAGGATCAAATGTCACATCCTGTCTCCTTCAAAGCTCTTCCGTACACAGGGTCCCTCTCTGAGCCCATTTCTTTCTTAGCGAACAGGGAAGGGCAGAACACTTATTAAGTGCCTACTGTATGCCAGGCACTTCACAAATATTATCTCATTTGATCTTCATAACAACCCTGGGAGGTAGTTGCTGTTGTCCCCATTTTGCTGTTGAAACTGAGGCAGACTGGTGAAACGGCCAGTCACTGTCAGAGCCAGGACTCGGATGAAGGCATCTAAATTCCAAGTCTTCCTTTCCCTCCTGCCCCTAATGTCTCATGTAGAGATGGCAGAGCTGGAGCTAGAACAGACCTTCGAGGTCTCCCGGTCCAACTCCCTCCTTTTACAGGTGAGGACATTAAGGACCGTGGAACAAAAGGGTTCTCACAGTCACAAGGAGAGCAAATGGCAGAGGTAAGATTTGAATTCAGGTCTTTAGATTCCAGAGGCAGTGCTTTTTACACCAAGCCAGGCTGCCCGTTAGAGGGAGATGGGACTTGAGACCTTCCTTTCACAGCCAAGGAAACAGAAATGGCTTGTCCAGATCTCCCATTGGACAAGTGATGGAGACAGGGCTGAAGCACAGGCTCTTCCTGACTTGGATGGAGGGCATGGCCTCCCCCCAGCCTCATAAGTCCTCAAAGGCACACAGTTTGATGCTTCTCTGCCGGTAGGAATTGTGGAGTGCAGGGTCCAGCAGGGTTTGCAGCTCATGCAGCCGCTCCCAGGACTGGGAGAAGGCATCGGGCCCCTCCCCACAGCCACTGGTAGGTGAGACACTGGGGTACCCAGGGTGGGTCATGAGCTCCATGGTGATGGCTCGTCCTCCTTGCAAGATATCCTCCCGGCTCAGGACGCTCTCCACAGCCCGGTCAATGGCAGCCTCAATTCTGCTCACAGACATGTCCTTGCCCATAGTGCTCAAGCCTATGTATGCATCAGGCCACCTGTGGAGAGAGGCTGTGTCCCTGGGGGGTGGGGGTGGAGGGTAACAGACCATTCTCAGCCAACCCTCACTTGGACAGCAGGCCCCTAACATCCCCGACAAGTGGACATCCAACCTTTGCTTGCAGACCACCGGTGAGGGGGGGCCCACCACCACCTATAGCAGCCCATTCCACTTTGGGACAACTCATTGCTAGGACATCTTTCCTTAAATTATACCAAAACCTGTCTCAGTGACTTCTGATCCATGGCTCTATCCCCTTCCATGTGATGGCCCTTCGTGTGCCCCCATACCTTCTCTAGGTTAACCACAGTTCTTTCAACTGGTCCTTGGACAATGATGAGGTCTCTAGGCCCTCCACCACCCTGGCCATTTTCTTCTCCAGCGTACCCAAACCCTGCTCAACGGTGACTCCCAAGTCCTGGACACTTCCCAAGATCTCCTTTAGCACTCAGCACACTGCGGAGCCACATTAAGGTTACAGCTCATTAACACCATCCCTCCCCCCTTTCTTTCTGATGAGCCACTCTCCCACTATACCTTTCCCAATCTCATGTTTGTGAAACTGTTTTGGAACCAGATGAATGGTGAGACCCCAGTGGTTCATGGATTGAGGTCTCCAGGGAAGTGCCCCAGGGATTATGCAGAGGCCACCAGTGGCCAGCATGGAAGCCTACTGATAACTTAGAGCTGACACAAAACCTGCCTCTCGGTTCTGAGCCCTGCAGCTTAGGAAGGACACGGACACAACAGGAGAATGTCCGTGGGAGGGTGACCAGAATGAGGGACGTAAGGAATGCTTGAAGCACTGTGGGGGGGGGGGGGTTAGCCTGGAAAAGAAGCAGCTGGGCTTGTGCTCAGATCCACACCGGTACGGGACCCCTCCCCCTCTTCTGCCTCGAAACATATAGCCCCTATCTATAAGCTCATGGCTGCAAGGGGGAAGAGAGATTAGGTTTGTTCAGTTGGGCTGCAGGGGGCAGAACCAGGAACCAGAACCAGAACGGTGGGGAGAGATGAGAGGTCAATTCAGGTTTCATTGACTTCCTAACAATTAAAACGACCTTGGCAGTTTGTCGTTGAGTCCCCGCTCTGTGAGCCCATTTGGGGTTTTTGGCAGAGACGCTGGGGTGGTTTGCCATTTCCTTCTCCGGCTCATTTGACAGATGAGGAAACTGAGGCAAACAGGGTGAAGTGACTTGCCTCGGAAGTGTCAGAGGCTAGATTTGAACTCAGGATGATGATTCTTTCCAGTTCCAGGCCAGAAACCTTATCCACTATGCTACCTAGTGGCCTTGGGAGACAGGTCCAAAGACAAAGGCAGCTGTTGAGGTATGCACTAAGGTGATGTGGGAGCCCACCCTCAGATGTGGTGCAGATGGGCTGGACTCCAGAAGACCCTTCCTGGAGCTCAGAGTCGGGTCCAAGTATTTCCACTCCTTGGTGGAAACTCCTCCCTGTTCCTTGGAGAGGTCCCAGCTGGCATCCTGCTCCATCCAGGGTGGGAGACTGCTACAACAGAGGGAACCTTAGAGACCTTCCCATCCATCTCTTTCAACTTACAGGAAAGGACAGGGGCTTCCCCAGGTCACTCAGTAGGTGCTCATAAGCAGCAGAACCCAGGAATTGCAAATCAATGGCTGTCCCAATCCCGATGCTTCTCCAGTATCTGTGTGGATGAGGAAACTGAGGCTGCCAGGACCCACATGCCAGAGGCTGCCAGCCAGGTGGTGGGGGGGGGGGGGTCAGACTCCCAGGGACCTTACCGAAGGCCTAGCTCTTCGAATTCCTCCTTAGCGGCCTGGGCATCCTCCTCCACTGCCAAGGCGAAAGTCCGAAACTGGGGCTCCAGCCAGTCGCAGCGGCACAGGCCGGCCTCCACTGGCACCCGGGTGTACCGGACCCCGTGCTCCCGCAGCACCTCCGCGAACACCTGGCGCACGCCTGGGAATGGGACGGGTCAACCGGAGAAGGGGGCGCCAAGGGAGCCGAGCTGGCCCGTGGGTCCCACCCAGGTCGGTCTACGACGAGACACCTCCAAATCCCCCAGCAGCCCGGGGCTGGGAAAGGACAACCCCAGCCCCATGTGCTTCTGCCGAGTAACCTCGACCTGGGACCCCTACCTGGGAGCACGTGCACGTGCTGGTGGCCGTCCACGTGGGTGGGCTCCTGGCCCAGCAGGTTCTGGAAGCGGCTGAGCTGCGCGCGTAACTCCTCCCTCACCTGCGGCCGGAGCGGGGAGGGGGGTTGGGCGGGGCCTCCTGCTTTCTGCTCCCCCCTGCCCCTCTCTTCCTTCCCCATCGGGTGGAGGCCTTACCTCGGGTAACAGCACCCGGCCCTCGGCCAGCGCCTTGCGGAAACCCATCTTGCCCAAGAAGAAGCCACCGGGGCCGACCAGGGAGGCCCTGGAGCCCAGGCTGGGGCTCACGGGCCGCCCCTCGCTCAGGTTGGCGTGAAGGCCGGCTGGAATGCCGTGCCTGCGGGGATCGAGACGCTCAGGGAACCCCGGGCCGGCCCCCTGTCCAGCCCCGCCCTGGCCCTGACGCATCCCTTTCCCCGGGTCCTTCCTTTGCCTCCAGCCCAGGTCTGGACACCTGGGTCCCCCCC